ACAGAGACTCACTCTGTTGCCCAGGCTAGAGTGCTGTGGCGTCAGTGCCTAGCTCACAGCAACCTCAAACTCCTGGGCTCAAGTGATCCTCCTGCCTCAGCCTCCCAAGTAGCTGGGACTACAGGCATGCACCACCATGCCTGGCTAATTTTTTCTATATATATTAGTTGGCCAATTAATTTCTTTCTATTTATAGTAGAGACGGGGTCTTGTTCTTGCTCAGGCTGGTTTCGAACTCCTGACTTTGAGCAATCTGCCCGTCTCAGCCTCCCAGAGTGCTAGGATTACAGGCGTGAGCCACCGCGCCCGGCTAAGCTACTCAACTTTAAACAACTCTGTGAAGGAGTTCAGCTGTAGAATATTGGTGTTTGGCTCTCTCTTTTTTTAAAGATTTTTCCTTAAAACTGTAGCTGTAATTATTTGTGGATTCTGTATTCGTGAATTCACCTACTTGCCAAAATGTATTTGTAACCCCCAAATGAATACTTGTGGTGCTTTTATGGTAATTTATGAGTTGCTCACTGTGCATGTTGCCAGCTGAGGTTGAACAAGGAGATGCTCCACTTTCTTGTTTTGGCTCTCATAATGTACGCAAGTGTCCTTTTCAAAGTCCTTTTCTTATTTAATGCCACGGTTTGAATATTTTTGTGCTTTTTGTTGGTGATTTCACTGTTTAAAATGGCTTCCAAGCATAGTACAGCGGTGCTGTGTAGTGTTCCTAAACACAAGAAGGGTGTGATGTGCTTTATGGAGAAAAATGTGTATTAGGTAAACTTTATTCAGGTATGAGTTGTAGTGTTGCTGGCAGAGAGTTCAATGTTAATCACCAGTATATATTAAATAAGATGTCTTTAAACAGAAACACACATAATATAATACATGTATTGATTGGTTGAAAAAATCATGACCAGAGGCTTGGAGGAGCCCAATCCTGTATTTCTCCTAAGAACAATGGTTTAGTAATTGCTAATTCAGTGATTATGGCAAATTTGTAGTATATAACTATCTCAAATGATGAGAATAGACTGTATGATTTTTTCCCTAGGAGTATAAGTAAGCCACACACTTTACTGTCTCTTAATAATGTGAACTTTAAAAGTCTGAAATTTAAAGCCAAGTCCACTTGTAGTCTCTCATCACCTCTTCTCTGGAACATTTTCCAAAGTATACAGGCTTGTTGTAAATTTTGAAAATTCTGACTATATAAAGAACAAAGTTACAATCAACAGTGATGTTATCTTACCATTCAGAAATAGCTGTTACTATTTTGATGTATTTTCTTCCAGTACTTTTTTCCTGGTATCATATTTATGTTTTGCGTCTTTTTTTTTTTTTAACTTAACATTATATTCTTAGCATTTTTCAATATTCTTCAATAAATTAATTTTTAATGGCTTCCTTAAGCATTTCCATGATTGTTGTACCAGTTGACATTACCACAGTGATGTACGAAGGTACCTGTTTTTCCTCAACATAACTAACACAATGTATTTACTTTGCTTTTCTTATCTTTGCCATTTTGACAAGTGAAAAATAATGCTTTATCATAGTTTAAATTTACATTTCTCTTATCTGAGTGGGGTTGATTTTTTTTTCATTTTAAAACATCTGTTCATCATACATATTTATATCCTTGGCTTGTTTTTCCCTGCTGAGTTGCTAGTATTATTATTATTGTTTTGTGGAAGCTTTTTATATATTAAGGAAATCAGACCTTCTCAGTGATAGGAGTAGCATTGGTGTTAAGTGGGATTAGATTTGTTTTATTAATATATGCTTCCAAAGGTAAACCTTTGGATATAAAGCATAGATACAAACCAATAGAAGAAAGAACTTTCTAACAATTACTTATGCAAAGATAGAATAGGCTCCCTGAATCAAAGTGGTTTTCTTAAGCCTGGAGT